CCCCTTCACCTTCTACTAGTCTTGTCATTTTTCTCTTATTATAGGTGTCAGAATAGTCCCCAAGGTAGAGCTAGGAAAATCTCTTTTCTGCCGAGACACCTATACACATTGCTTAATCCTCAAATCTTTTTGTCCCGTATCAAATTATATCAAGACTGGAGTGAGTGGCACAGCCCCCGCTCATAACACCCAACCTGACACTGACTGTGTGTTAGCCCAGCTGAGACACAATCACAGGTATGCACATGCTCAAGGGCACACTAGCAGGTTCACCCTCTTTAACTCCAAGGTGGCCTCTTTCTGTTAAGCCAGGCATCCAATGATTGGAGCATGCCCCATATTCTGGGAAGGAGCATTCTCATTTATTACAGCTCAAAATAAGTTTGCATTTCTCCGTCCAGCACAAAGCTTTGAAAAGAATGATGACACGGGACATTTCAGGAGAATTTGCAAGGATCGCTAATAAGTACTGCACGTCTAGGTGTTTGAATGAAAATATTTTCTTCTTCAGAACTCTCCAAGCTCAGAATTGCCCCCCTGGCAACGCTTCATGTCCTGCATGTCTTTGGAAATCAGTTTTTGAGGAAAAGTAAATGCAGTAAGAATTTGTCTGTAGCAGCATGTTTTTTTTAGAAAGAGAAAGCCTCTGGGGGACAGGATAGAGAGATTGCTAAGGATAAAGTTTGTAGGTCATGAGACAAAAAGTAAAGTTGTCTCCTTCTACCCTGAAGCCCCTAGAGAGAATTTAGGAGATTTATGACATGGTCCTCCTTCTTTCTTGGGTCCATTGTGGCCGCTGGCAGGGTTCCAACCTTGTAATGCTAAACAACTCTATCAAAGATCAGTGCTTCCTGTTACCTCTGTATCCTGAGTGTGGGCTTTTTGTTTTAGCTCATGTTATGGATTTGATGTTCCCCATGGGGCTATGACAGATTGAACCCTAGAAGTGGATACCTGGGCTCTCAGAAGTGATGCTTATCATCAGGAGACCAGGAGTGTGGATGCATCAAAATAAACACATCCCGTGGTGGGTCAGCAGCCCAAAGTGCCTGCCATACCAGTGCTAAGGCACGTTGGCATACACTTGACAGTTTCAAAGAAAACCATGCATTAATCTGGCACATAATAAAATTGTTGTTTAGTATGTGTTTCTTTGATCACTTGAAGGTTTGGATTTTGTTTTGGGGATTTACCAGCCATTTCAGTTCCATCATGTCAGACTCCCTGGGTCACAGTGTCTCTGAGGTCAGCCTTCTATCCTGTCTGTTGATCGTTTTTCACATTTTCGCCTCTCCCATGAAACTCACATCTGATTCATCTTGTGATTAATATCTGGAGTAGTGTCGACTCCCATAATGGAGCATGCTCTTGGGCTCTCAAATCGTGCTTTGTGACATTCAGCTCATTGCTCTGGGGGCTGTAGGCAATAGAAACAGAAAAGATCCCTGAGCTTTTCATTTCTCCTGCATGCAGGGCTCCCTGCCAGCCACCTCTGAATCGCCACCAGCTTTTTCTCTGAACAAAATCCTGTCCACTGCTAAATATAGTTTTTGTAACACAGTAGTAGAAAGAAGGTGCTTTCAATTTTTAACTCTAGACTGAGCAAGGAGCAATTTGCATAACAAGCAAAGTTAGCCATGTATGAAATCTGGTCTCCTTCATTGAGCCATGACATTAAGGATCAGGGAGATTAGGTGACCCTTTCCTGTCATACAAGCAATGAAATTCCAGTTACCCAGCAATGAATTCCAGCTTTCAGTAGGTGCGCTGTCCACCCCCAGCCCCAGGTCTGAGTAAACAGATCATTCCTAGGTACAAACAAGAGACACTTGGTTCCTACTGGTGGGAAATGGCATCTAGATCCTGATTTGCCAGATCAAAATGAGGACACCAAGCAACAGAGAGATCTCTTTCTGATTTCATATAATTTTGAAATTTTAGTCACTTTTCCCAACTGGAGACTAAATCCCTTCTGAAAATGATCCTGACCACAAACCCTCCAAGTGACACTGTGGCACTCTCCACACACCAGAGACTCCTCACTGTGACTTAGTGGCAAATGCAAGTGGCTTTGGGGACCAGGACAGCATGTCAAGAGGCTGGGGTAGGACCAAAGGCAAGCCATAAGCAAAGGCTTCATCCACTGTGTTCACTGTTTCATCCAAGGACCTGGAGCATAGTCTACACACCACAAGTCCTCAGTAAGAGGTGCAGAATAAGTGGCAGGGACTTCAGAGAACTGGGAAATGTGTAGCTCACAGAAGGCATTCTTGTCAAAAAGGAAAAAAAAAGCATTCTTGTCAAAAAGGAAAAAAAGCATGTCAGTTTGCATGTCTTACAAAGTGTTGTCTATGGACAGAATGGGACAATCACTCAGTGCACTATTGATGTCCAACCTACCCTTTGATATCATATTTTTAGTTGAAGTTAGAGTGCAGATCCTTCTACTCAAATGTCTTTCAGGTTCTTCCCATTAATAACCTTGGCCCTTTAATGCCCCTGGATTATTAAAAACGTGTGTACATTCTCACACTATCCATCATCCTAAGATGGCTTAACTTTTTTTTTCCCCGAACCTCTTAGTCATGTGTCTTTCTTTCCAAAAGATATGCAAAGGAATTTCATCTACCAAACAAGGTGCCAACTTTCTAAATACATACCTTATTTGCTAAGAGAAGGATCACAGATCCGTTTTCACACCTACAATGCTGACTTTTCTAAAATGGACACAAGCAAACAGAGATGGCTAATTCACACCAAAATCATTTTGAACCCAACTCATCTCCAAAATCTGCCACATCAAATTATAGGGTCCTGGATAGGGGAGACGCCCTCTGCAGGTTTTTCTGAAGGTGAAGCATCATGACGACTCTTTCCTTGGATGCTGTCCTTGTTCAGATGGGTCTGCATGGTCTTCCCTTGATCTCATTCCCCTGACAACCCAGATACAAATTTTTTAGTATGGAGCAAAGCCCCTTGAACCAAAAGGAACACAGCTGTCAGGTCTGACATCTGTTGTGGGAAAGGCATATTAGAAAAGAGGCCTCTGGGCACTTGTGCCCTCACCCAAGGGTAGGAAACCATGTGAAACCATGTGCACCCACGTGGAAGACCAGAGGCTTCTAGCTGTGAGCTCTGCCACGAATTTATCACTTAACCCTTCCAATCTCCTGCAGAGTGGGAGGGCTATCAGAATCCCCCTCCAGTGAGACAAAACATACAGTAGAATCCACCTAGAGAAACAAAGTTGCCAAAAATCAAGCTATATGTACTATTAATACTTTGGACAGGATACATGAGTCAGATAGCCCAGCAAAAGCATTACCATTTTAGGTCACCTTGAAAACTGCTGGTGAAACAAAAGGGCTTGTGGACACTATTTGACGCCTAATTTACAAACCCTATGATGGGGTAAACAAACCTGTTTGCAGATGGAAACCCTGACTGCCAAGCAACATTCAGCTCCATTTATACATCTCAGCAGGATGCTATACGTTCTGATAAACTCAAAGATTGCAGATGATTCTTCATGGTTGAAATGCCTCTACTGCACTAATAACCTGAGCCTGGTTCTGGGTTGATTGTAATTTTGAACCCAACTCATCTCCAAAATCTGCCACATCAAGTTATAGGGTCCTGGATAGGGGAGACACCTATCTTACATTGAATGTAAAAACTGGAAGTGACCTGTCAGTTAGGAATATATTCAGACACAAATAACAGGAAACCTGGACAATAGTGGCTTCAACAGAGAGGGAATTCTATTCTTAATTTTTTTTTTTTCATGCAACCTGCCACAGTCCGGCTGCAGCAAAATAACCGGGGGGGTGACGAACAACTTGTGTACGTTGATACAGCAGGAGTGGGAGCCCTTTATTGTAGGACAACAGAGGTATTTATACATTCCACACAGCTTATCTTAATTAGCATAAACTAGATACAGCAGTCAACCAATAAGAAATCTCCACACTTAATGGCTCGCTGGCCTTACTTCACAAACCACTCCCTCTGGTATTTTGCCAGGAGCCATCCAGACTTGTTTACAGACTCTAACATTCCCCTGGCAAAATGCCAGGTGCCATCTTGACTTGTTTACAGACTCTAACACAACCAGATATGCAGAGGCTGGTGGTGGCTCCCTAGGGTTTAGCTAATCCACTGCTGTCTGGACCCTGCTCTCTCAGTCCTTCTGCTCTATCTTACTCAGCCCTGGGCATTTATCCTCCCTCTTATTGGCTCAGGAGCTGCTTATCTATCTTCAAAGCAGAAACAAGCTGAGGTAGGAGGGGTCAGGTGCATCTATTCCCTTGAATAGGAAAACAAAGGCTTTTCTAGAAACCCCCTCAGTGGGCTTCCCCTTCAGGCTCAGAGGTCAGAACTATGACATGACTTTCTCAAGGGAGGCTGGGAAGCAGGGTTGTTCTCCTGTTTGCCTCTGTGGGAGAGGAAAGCAAGTGAGAATAGGCTTGAGAACAGGTATGTGAATTAGCACGAGTGCCTCCCACAGGGCCGCCGTGGAATCCTTTGCCAGGACTTCAGTTGATTCAGTATTCGCAGTGCTCTTTTTTATACTCCATTCCTCTCCGTACAGATGACATAGTGGGTTCCGGAAATGGAAAGTAACGTGGCCAAGTTTCCATTACCAGAGAAGTTAGAGCCCGACCTGGAGTCCAGGTCTTCGACTCCTAGTCCAGATAGCTGCCCTCAGTTCCACACTCTTTGTGTGGTTTGAAGTTCTATTGAGGAAGTAGACTATCATCCAGAAAATCAAGTAATGGATGTTAAACTATCATCAATGGGCAGAGGACAGGCAGCTTCTACTTCCTCCCTCCGAATCGGCAGTAATTCACTTTTTATCTTCTCATCCCTTTGACACATTGATGTTTATGTGTTATTACAGAATCAAGCTCAGGATGAGTGCCACGATAATGTAGAATTTCTGTGTCATTGTTAATGTGCTGTTCTTGTCTTCTGTCCCCTTCTGTTATTGGACCAAACAGAAGTATTCTGCTGTTTCTCTCTGCAACATCTCCACAGAAGTCCTGAAAGTCATCAACGCCACAGAGGAGTTGATAGCGGAGTCTACAGGGCCCTGGGAGCTCCCACCAGTCCCTTCTGACCGAGAAAAGGGGACGTTTCCTCTTGGGACAGACCAAGTGAAACTGGATGAACAGCTGACTTCCCTGGAAGAAAACGTAAGAGGGCGTGGGTGTGCCCAGTCTAGGGTGAAGGTATGCAAATGAAGAAAATGGTGATGCTGTAGACCATCACGGAGCACAGGACACACACACCACCAACACCGTGAATTGTGTAGTCTCAGGAAGTGGCTTAGATAGGGTTCCCCGGAAGCAGATCCTGAGATGAAGATTTGATGCAAGTGACTAGCAGGGACATTCTCCCAGGAGAAGCTGGCCAAGGAATTGTGAAGGGAAGGTAAAGGGGAAAAGGCAAACAAGGGTGTGATCTTAGATCCAGAGTAGCTTCAGCCTGATTCTGCCCTGGAGCTCTGAAGTGTAATGCGTCTCAGAGTTGTCCTGATCTAAGGCAAAGGAACTGGCACTCCCTCCAGCCAGCAGGCACATTGGTCTCTGCACCCAGGCAATGTGACTCCAAAGGAAGTCCTCTGTAAGGACTTAAGATGTTGATAACAAAGGCACACTGAAGTTTAGGAACAGGGATGGTATTTTTAAAATCATTCAATAGCACAGGCCTAATCCCAAAATATAATGAGGAAGACTTTAATAAAGATGATGGCAATAGGTATAGGGACCACTGCAATGGGGTCTTCCAATGAGAAGGAGAGATTGGGCTCTGCCACTAGCTCAACTCTGAATATAGCATGGGCAAATGGGGGTTCATAGCTAAGGAGCAGGGTGAGAGTCACTAGATAGAAAAGTCACTAAAAGGAAAACTCAGATGTAAGAGCAGTTCTAGCTAAATCCACAGGATTCTTGCTGAAGACAGTCGAGGGAAGACTGGACATCCCCTGGGAGATAAAGGGGGAGGAACCTAATTAGATATTGAGATGATCAGATCCCAAGATGGGGGATTCTAGCTAAATTAAGCAGGATTCTTTTGCTAAAACTGGATTTTGTAAAGAAGTACACAAATAGGAGAAGGTTCAGAGCCTGACTAAAGTTTGGCCAAGCAAAAAATCTTGGTCAAGGGAAGTATGTGGAGAATACGAGATCCAAGGAGATCCAGATGGAATATTGGCAGTTACCACTGCAGGGAATGAGGGTTGCTGCCAAAAGAGGCCCCGTCATTACACCTGCTTGGCTCTGCTCCCCTAACGGAAGACACCAACACCAGATCCTGTCTCTTACTGAGCCTTCATGTGCCATTAAAAGCAGGAAGCCTGCCGCCTTTCTCCTGAGGCTTCCAGTTCACTCCAGAGTTACCCAAGTACTCTGAGAACTGGGGAAGACCCTGCTGCACCACCTGCATTACCTTCTGACCACACACAGATCCCAGACTCTACCGTCATTCCCTTTCCACCTCCCTACCCCTTTTCTCAACCTACCTGGATGATCAAGAGGAAAATGCCTAATCCCAAGTATATTTTAAAATATATATTTCTTCTCTGGAAAGAAAATACTTAGTGCAATACTTAGCTCAAAATAAATACCCCATAAACATTAGATATTCATATTTCAGGTATGTCACCAACCAATTTCTAAAATATCATATTAAGCCAGACACGGTGGCGTATACCTGTGATCCCAGCAAGTCAGGAGGCTGAGGCAGGAGGCTCACAAGTTGGACACTGACCTCAACAACTCAGTGAAACCCTCAGCAACTTAGCAAGACCCTGCTGCAAAATAAAAAATAATAAGGACAAGAGATATAGCTCAGTGGTAGAGCTCCCCTGGGTTCAATCCCTAATACCAAATATAAATAAATTATGTATATATTTATACATACATATATAGTATGTAGTTATGTATATATGCAATTTATTATATGTAGTTGATAAGTTTCATAATTTATTATATATGTATGTAAATATGTACATTCACACACACACACACACACACACATACATACATACATAAATCTCCCATTAAACTACACAAAGGAATAAGTTGTTAAAAGTCATTCCAGCTTTCATAACAGATGCACTTTCTCTCATTCTAGGACAAGTACACATTTGCTACTTTCAAGAAAAAGACATTTGAGAAAGAAAGGAAGTAAAATAAGTCTCATTGGTGATTATACTTTGCCAAAAAATCATCCATTTTTACTGCAGTGTAGGCAGGGTGACAGGGAGTGTCCCCTGCCTCCTTCATCCTGTTTGTACGTGATGGTCTACGGAGGACCCTCCGTAGGCTCTGGGTCTTTGGTGGTGCCACCTCCTCCATTGCCTGAAAAGAGCCTGCAAGAGAGTCAGGACACAGGGGAGGAGTGGGACCTACCCGGCTTCTGCAAAGGAGGGTGTGGTTGGGGGGGAAGGTGCAGATACATCTGCCAGGAACTGATTTTTCTACCCTCCTACTTGTGAGAAAAGAAAGAAGGAAAAATTAATTCTTGCATATAAATATCCACAATTATTGCTGAGTATTTTCAGCACATGTCTGATGATGAGAATTTTCCAATACTCTAAACCAAGAGTGACACAGAGAGAGATCTGGACATTAGCCACTCAGATCATAGTCACTGTCTCCTGTGGATGTGCCCTTCCCACAAAGCTGTATCACACCCAGGCAGGTGATTCATCTTTCCAGACCAGCAGAGTCAGCCCTGCCTTTGGAGCATGACCGTGAATACTCTTACCAGAAATCAGCAACTGTTAGTACAGGCATTTTTGAATAAAGTTGCAATGACAACAAATCAAAATGACTCAAGGTGAAAAATGCCAGTATTCATATCACTTTTAAAAGCTGAGAACTCTCTCCCCTTGGACTCCCATAAAAACCTAAGTGTTTGTCTTTCTGGCTACATCCCTCACTTTCCATCTTTCTGCTCATTCCTCTGACTCCCATTAGACCAGCCCTATTGACATTTTGGATTGAATAATTATTTTGTGAGGACCTGTCCCGTGCATTGGAGGCAGTCAGGCAGCATACCTGGCCTCTGCCTCTAAGCTGCCAGTAACAACTCCTTCCTACTCAGGGCAATCAAAAACATCTCCAAGCATTGTCAAAACATTAGGGGACTGGAGAGGGGGCAAAATCAGCCCCAGATTGGAAACCAGATACACAAATTCCTTCAGAACAAGATCTGCTGTCTTTCTCATCTGTCGCCTAGTCTTCAGTTCAGAGCCTGACACAGCCAATGTTTACTGATGTATGATTGCATCAGATGAATGAAGCCCTTTAAAAAAATAAGAAAGGAAGAAAGAAAGAAAGAAAGAAAGAAAGAAAGAAAGAAAGAAAGAAAGAAAGAAAGGTTTTATTTCAGATGTACAGGGGCTCTGTTCTTTAAATGTATCTGTGTGACATAGTTTCTTTTAGTGCCGATGGTCCTAAGACTCACAGAATAATTGATGAGATTAAAGTAAAATATGATTCTTCAGGAAAGCAATGTTTTTTTTCTTTTTTTTTTTTTTACAAAGTATGATAGCTGGTGCATAATTCCTGTAACACCTCAATTTAAATGACAATGGTCAGTTTTCACAGTACACATAAAACACAGTGGGCCTTTTCTTTCCTCTCCAAGGAGCACACTGAAAAGTGTCTAGCCTGTGCTGAGTTTTCTTTTTGTAAGCTCCTTTTATTGGACACTATGGGGGGATTCATTAACATTTATTTATATATATATATATATATATATATATATATATATATATATATTTTAGTTGTGCATGGACCTTTATTTTATTTATTTATATGTGGTGCTAAGAATCCAACCCAGTGCCTCACACATGCCAGGCAAGTGCTTTACCACTGAGCTACAGTCCCAGCCCCTCCTTAACATTTTCAATTCAAAACACATTCACTTAGGATTGATTCAAGAGGTCAGAAGACCCAGCAGGGTCCTGTGGCTCAAGGCTGGATTTGGAGTTGACTGCACCCCAATCCAGCACCTTCCATGCCACTCCTGTTCCCTAACTGTTAACTGCCTCCTTCTCCTCCTCCTGCTTCCCCATCCTCCAGCTTTTCAAATCTCATCTCTGAAGAAACACGGTCTAGGTTCCTTTGAATTCTGAGGATGTTTAATCAGAGAAGGGATGACTTTTCCTTTGTCTCTTTAATTCACCAGATCACAGAGTCCTGGGCAGGTTGCTCCGTTGGTCTGTCTCCAGGTTGGAATTGAGTTGAGCAGCAGGAGGCGGCCAGAGCGGATTCTTAAACTGGACTCTGGGTGCGGCTGATTTAGTTAAATCCTGGCTTTTGTCCATCTGCGTTGTTGTAAAGAGCTCGCCTTCATTCCTTAGCCTCCGTCTACCTGCTGGGGAACCAGGGACTGTCAGGAATAGAAATAGCCACACTATTCTCTCCTGAACCTTGGCCACCGAGTGCCAGGACTCAGATGAAAGAGAACATTTGGTTGAGAATATTCACCTTTAAAAAATGCTTCTGAGGCTTTCAGAGCTGCATAAGATAAAGAAATACCACATTCATATATGCAGTCTACAAATGTTCAGAACTGCTGTTAGCCCACTTAATTAGAGGGGGGATGGGAGTTTTAGATCCTGGAGCCTTTCAGCTTTGACTCCTCTCTCCTGCTGCCTGGTGTTAGGTATGAAATCAGCTCTTGTCTCCCCTAAAGACAGCAATGACCTGTGCTAATCCTAACCTGGCAATAGCTCACCATGGGGGCTCGGCTCCTGGAGCAGAATGCCTGAGTGTCTCTCTCTCTCTCTCTCTCTCTCTCTCTCTCTCTCTCTCCTGGTATTTTAAATTCCTGCTGTGAAGAGTTCTGTTGTACTTGCTCTGGTCTGGCTGGGAGAGGAGCGGTTCAAGAGGGCACTAGTAAGTAAGGCGAGGACAGAGTGACAGGATGCCACAGGGTCAAAGGGCAGGGGTGGAAGACAGTGGGACCACTCCTCAGGCAGTGTAACCAGAGCCATTGGAGACCTGGAGTGGGAAGAGGAGAGGCTACCTGGAGGAAGCTCTGACCATGGAAATGGGCTTCCACCAGAACCTTGCTGCCTACAGGGAAAGAAATGTTTTCAACTTCTTCCAACTCCTACCTTTACTCTCCGGCTGGTATCTGCCATTGGTCAAAGCCATCCCAGCCAGCCAGGGAGCCAAGTTCACATAAGTCAATCAAACAGGGAACAAAGCAAGACACAGAAGGGTAGAAACAGACCTAGATCAGCAGAGAACAAGAACAACTATTCAGATGTCAGGTGTGACTAATAGCAGCAGCTGCCTTATGGATTCACACAGGGCTGTGAGTGGGAGAGATGAGACAAGCACCAACCTCATTTTCATCTTTGCTGTATGACACAAGCAACTTGGTGTAACCCATACTCCCCAGCCACAGAGGCAGTGGGGGCAGTCCCAGTTTCCTTGTAGCTCTGCCCCATATTGCCCCAGGTAATATATAATAGTGGTCTCAGATGCCATGGAACTGTACCATGAGAGCCCAGCTCTGCCACCAAGTCCAGGACCCAGCAGAGGATGGTGGTCCTCCTTCTTAAGCTCTGTGTAACACTGAGAGCAGCAGAGAGGATATAGAACTCGTGTGGGTGGTCATGGTTACTCAGGTGCTTCTCTGCCCCCAGAGAGCAAGAAAAGAAATACTATCAGTTACTATCTTATCTTCGTCCCCTGAAGTGCAACGAGATGCATCTGAAAGGCCAAATAAGTTTGGGAAATTTGCATATTCCCTCCAGGAAAATTGAGATATGTATTAACCCCTAAGTCCTGCAGTAAAGAAATCTGGTTAGTGCACTTTATTTTAGGGCATTTGACTATGAAGTCCTTCCTTAATGAAATACCTATTTGCATACCCCAAATGACTTTGAAAGAAAGGCATGTTGAACTAGGAGCCAGCCAGTGGGGTCACCAGTGGCTAGAATTCGAAGAGGATATAGATTGCTTAAACAAGATAACCATAGTTCTCAATGAATGTGGACCTTGACTAAGCAAGCAACTGCAGGTGAACATTCATCTGGTTGCTAGAATAACGTTTTCATGTGCTTTCCATTTGTTATCACATGGCATGTAACTTCTGTCTTTTCAAACCAGCAACAGAGCCAATATCAAGCCCATCTAGAACCACAATAACTGTAGTATGTTTATGCTAAAATTTGAAATTTAGAACATAGCAACATTCCAACTAAGATGAAGAAGCACTGCATCATAGGGCAGGGAGGGGAACAGGATCTGGGATCAGCCTTCTTGGGCTCACTTCCGGCTTCCACCTTTTCCCAGAGGTGAGAACTGGGAAAGTCACTGAGCTTTTCTAAGACATAAGATATTCCCATGTTTAACATAGTGATTGCAATGGTCCCTACCTCAAGGCTTGCCATGAGCATTAAATAAGATAAGAAAATCCTTAGCTCATTCCTGGCCCAAGAAATACCTGCCATCATCATCATCCTCACCATGACGACCCCCACCAGCACCTCCATCACCATCCTGCAGTCCTTTGGGCACCGTCATTACTCTGTCTGGAAGTCTGGCTGGAAGTTCCTGTTCAGCTGGTGTCTGTGACAAACCACTCAATGTCCCCTTCCTCCTCATGCCAGGAAAGCAGGTTTTTAGGAAGCACAAAGTAAAGCTGAACATTCTGGCCTTACTGAGGACTTGGAGCTATTTCATACTGTTTTACTTTGGAAGAAAAAAATAATAATAACAGAAGAAATAGCCTATGACCATATTCAAAATGTGAACGGCCATGGGTGACTACAGCCCTATAGCATGATAATAATTGAGTTTTGCATGTTTGTGGTAAAATGACGGTTCCAAGACCAAAGTCATGTTTATCCTTTGCCACACTTAAATTATTCATTTCGTTTAAGTAGTAATTCTAAAGTCTGTTTCACAGTTTAAAAACTGTAAGTTTACACTTTAAAGTGTGTTATTAAGATAAATTTACCTTTTTATGCAGATAAGGGAAAGTATTTCAAAAGTATAATAAACTCCAAACTGCCCTGCCTTTCTCTCCCCACCCACCCCTCCTTCTTTCTCTCTTTCTCTCCTCTCCTACCTCCCCAGCCCCTCCGCGTCCCCCCCCCCCGCAACACCTGACTCCCCACCTTTATTTTTTTCTTCTCCTATCAAGGGAAGTTTTTTTTTTTTTTTTACCTTAAGAGATATGTTTTTTGAAGAATTTCTCCACTTGAATTCCTTTGAAGCAGTCATCATTTCTTTCATTTGACAAAGAACAAGTGGCTATCTTAAACTGTGAAGATCTTTTAGAAACAGAATTTCCCTAATACAATAAAGAAATACAAAAGGATAAGCTGAAACGTGGCAATAGCAGCAGACGTTTAATTCACTAAGTCACAGCCCCCTAGGTGGCTGGGTAGTCATTTGATGTTGGTCCATTGTGTCCATCACTGCAGGAAGCTCCCACAGCCCAGATAAATACACCTGGTGAGGAGATGCAGTCAAATTCATTTTCATCCACCCTTACCTGCTTCTGCTCCACTTTGAAATGTTTTGTAAAATTGCCAGTTTAAACACAGATGAATGAATCATGCCAAGGAACTGACAGAATAGGAACATCTCAGGGTTCTTTGCCTCCTCGCTGATACTCAGCCATCACTTGGTGCTTGACTCCTGTGCTTAAGCATTTGGCTCTTCCTCAGCTCTGTTATATTTTTAACTCCAATTACAGGAACTGTTGAAGTCCTGACCAGGCACTTCATTCAAATCAACTCTAAACTGCAGTGATCATGTTTTAGAACTTTACATACATCCATCACACCTCCAGAACTTCTCTTTAAGTACTTTCCTTCTTTAGATACATCTTGTTCCCCTGTCGTGGGCTATTTCACCAACATTATTGATTAGGCTGAGAAAGTGTTTGTCACAAAAATTCCCACTGACTGGCATCCTTTTGTCTGAATTATTCCAATGATTCTACTTTCTGTTGGTCCACTTTCAAATTACTACCTGATTTGCTCATTTTCAGTAGTTCCCCAAAATTATCCTAATTGACAAATAGATTCTACATGCTTCTCTTTAACATCCCATTTTTTCTAAGAAATGACGTTTTTCCCTACTATACCCCTTAGGTTCATTCTAATTTCCTTAACCTGTTTCAAATAAGCAGAAGGTCATTTAGTCAGGCTCAAAATTTGTAATTATGTTAAGTCAGTTTCACCCCTTTCATGTTTTCTAAATTTTTCTCAATCACTAAATGCCAACTAAAACTTTTTCTTTTTTCTTTTTTTTTTTTTTTTTTTTTTTTTTTGATACCAGGGATTGAACCCAGAGGTGCTTAACCACTGAGCCACATCCCAGGCTGTTTTTTTTATTTTTTATTTTGAGACAGGTTCTCACTGAATTGCTCAGATCCTCGCTAAGTTGCTGAGGCTGCCTTTGAACTTGCAATCCTCCTGTCTCCACCTCCTGAAAGGCTGGGTGGTGCACCACCATTTCTGGCCAACCAAACTCTGAGAAAAAACCCATCACAAGTTTTTCTCTTGATACTGGTTTTTATAAATCACTGGACAAATTCATAATTTACATAGCTCATTCTACGTATTTTTGTCCTGTATTACCAAAATCAACTTGCAAATTGTTTTTCCTTGCAGGAAAGTTGGAGGGGACAGGAGGTATGCTTGACATGGGGGTGACAAGATCTCATGCTACCACTTAAGTGTGAAGAATATTTATAAATGGGGGCTCCCATTCCTTTCCTCCAGTATTGAGCGCAGTTCTCTCTCACTTCCTTGAATCACCGGGGTCCCCTGAAGGAGTCCCACCAGAACCAGCTCTGCAGACCTGAGTTCAAAGGCCGTGTTCTCTCTCCAGGTGTACCTGGCAGCTGGCACTGTGTATGGGCTGGAGGGCCAGCTGAGTGAGCTGGAAGATGCTGCCCGCTGTATCCACAGTGGCACTAATGAGACTGAGTTGGAGGCTCTGGAGGACCAGGTGGCAACAGCTGCAGCGCACGTCCACCATGCTGAGCTCCAGGTGAGAATTCTCCTTTCTGTTCAGAGTGGACCTGCAAGGAAGAAAAGGCCCTTCTTGGTGGAGGATTCCACCAAATCCACAACCTTCTACTCTCCCAAATTATGACTGTGTTAACACATCAGATTTCCTTTAAAATCTTATACTAGTTTCCTCTTGACAACTTACCTGACCCAAACCTGGATCTCCTTTCTTTTTTTTTTTTTGGTAGGGATTGAACTCGGGAGCACTTGACCACTGAGCCACATCCCCATCCCTATTTTGTCTCTAAATAAAAATTTGAGTTGCTTAGCACCTGGCTTTTGCTAGGACTGGCTTTGAACTTGCAATCTTCTTGTTTCTGCCTCCTGAGCCACGGGGATTTCAGGTGTGCACCACCACACCCGGCTCTGGATCTTTCTATGAAGATTCCCATGTAATTCCAAGGCCCTCACCACACTGTTGCTTGCTCAAAGCCAGTTTTCCCCATCATAGACTAAAAACCCCATAAGGACAGGACTATAGCTGACTAGCTTAACTTAGCAACTCCAGTGCCTAGCACAACATCGGACACTTGGTGAAAATGGGACGAGTAAATGACTGTGATCAGATAAATAGGTTTCTCAGGCCAATATTTTGCAGGAGGAGTAGGCAGGATTTAGATATGGTTGTTTCAGAATTGATCCCTGTAGTCTCTATAACTTGGTGAAGATGATTGTTGACAGTTTTCTTGGATATTCTCTTGATCTTTGACTATGAATCAGAACCGATCATGAACAGAACAACTAATCCTCAAACTGGAGTTTGTGGACATGCTCTTAGGAGCCCGTGTCAGGTTTCTGTTGTTGTTTGTTTGTTTTTGTTTTTTTTTTCCTTTAAAAGGAGCCCATATGCTGCTCAGGTTTCAGAAACACAGATCTCTGCAGCATAACTTCAGTACTAGACCCCTGGTTCAAAATATTTCTATATTTTGCATCTTAAAACTGCATCTTTGGTAGCATTGTGGTCAATAGACACAACCTCAGTATTTGGAAGATGCTGCTCCTCTGAGTACTGGCTTTGGACTTCCAGACATAGAATCCAACCCTGAGCTCTTTGCTTTGACTCCCAAGAAACTCAGAGCTGAGTTGGTCTACCCTTTTAGCAAGTGTAGGGCTCATTGAGCATGCAGTCTTAAGATAAGATACAGGCAAAATCAGCCCTCAATACTTTCCTTTCTTCTCTCTTTGTTCTTTGTCTTCTGGACTAAAACTTGATCGTTTTAGTGCGTCTTACTCCAGAACCTGATAGTCGTCAGCAAATTAAAGGCCAACACAGTGCTTTCCCATTGACCTTATCTCTGAGGACTCTCTGAGAAAGCCCTTCATCAAAATTGCTTCCGGAGAAGAATTTGATCTTCTAATCCACATCAGTTGCAAATGACTGATAAGAGCTTAACCTGAAATTTTTCTTAGAGACTTGTGCAATTTATTGGCCTATAAATGAAAGGAATGCAACTCTCAATATGAAATTTGAGGAGTCAAACAGGAAGGCATCTGGGGGGCCAGGGAGGGGCAGAGCCTCACAGTGACTCCTACTGGAAGTTGGCGGTCGGTGAGCTTAACTTGCATTCTTTCACCAGCTATGACAGACTTGGTCTTCACATACCTCTTCTTCCTTGTCTAACCAAGACTGCCTGCTTTGGGCAGGGGGTAAGGGAAGCATCTTCCATATTAACTGACTCTTCAGGTTTCAACTATGCACCTCCTATAGCATCTTATCCCTGTAGATTTTGTCCAAAGATGCCCTCAGTAAATGACAGCAGAAGTAAGATTTGTCTTGAGCAGCACAAATTGTAGAGGGACTGGGGAGGCACTGCGGTCTGGGAGTGGTCCACACACACATTGGCTGGTGGCCTGCCTCTGGCTACCTATCTGATGCCCCAGCAACACCCAGGTAGCACCATCTCAGCAAAAGGTCTGTGATTCCCATCTCTCCCCTCGATTCCGTGGTATGCTGTTGGGTATGTCCCTTAGTCCTTTGAGCCACAGTCTCTCCGTCTGTAAAAATAACAGTAAAGAGAACAGTCATCACTTTCTAGAATTATTTTGAAGCATAATGAGTTCATGTATTTATGCACTTATCATAGTGCACTTTTCTAAGAGCAGGGACAGTGCCTTCTTCATCCCAGAGGAAGGGGAGGATCAGTGCTCTTCCTGGGCACTGAGTGAGCTCTGGCTCTCTACATCTGCCTTCAGAGTCTTGGAAAGAAATCTGAGCTCTCTGACCTTCCCATGTTGCAAATGAGGAAAGTGATGCCCAGAGAGAGGAGGGAACTTCTCAAGGCCACTTGGCCCCTGAATGGAAGAGATGGTTTTTGGACTGGAATCTGCCGGGCCTTGCCTCTAAACCCTCATGCTGTGGCTTTGGATTCATAGAATTATGGAAGAAGAAAGCAAGATCTTTAAATTATACTTGCCCTTTAAAGTTCAAGTATTGCCTCCTGTGGAATCTGAATAAGTATTTTTTTTTATGTTTCTGTAACAAAATAACTGAGGCAGAGCGCTTTTTTACAGAAGTTTATTTAACTCACCGTTTTGAAGACTGAAAGTCCAAGAACAAGTAGCACCATCTGTTTGGCCTCTGGTGAGGGCCTCATGGCAGATGGCATCACAACACCAGAAACACAGATGCAGAAGAGATCAGAGGGTGTAATGGTTTGGATCTGGTTTAAATGTGTCCCCCAGGGGCTTATGTGTTGGAGTATTCATTTGTTTGCTATAAACGCAGAACACTTTTTGTGTATATGTAACAATTGACCCCACTATTGTGTATAATTAGAATGCACCAATTTTTAAAAAAAATCTAAAAACTCACAACACTTTTAACAAGCATGACCCCCAGTGTGGCAATGTGGAAAGAGGTGAGGCCTAGTGGGAGGTCCTTGGGTCCCTGAGGGTGCTGCCCACAGAAGGAATTAAAGTAATTCTCATGAAATCCCTGAGTCAGTTCCCTTCAGAGGATTGTTGTAAACAGAGCCAGCCTGGCTCCAGCCATCTTTCTCTAGCTTCCTGTCTTGGGATGTAATATATTACTCCCATACATGTTCCCACTGTTATGACATCATCTCATATCCACCATCATGTGACTCAGCCAAGAGGCCCTCACCAAGGTAAGCTGATCCCAATGCCCTGCCTTTGGCTCTCTAAAACTATGATCTAAATAAAACTCTTTTCTTTATAAAGCTAGCCTATTTCAGGCATTTGGGGATAGTAATGAAAATAGGCTAATATACAGGATGAAACAGGAAGCCAGTGGGACTCAGGATTGCTTTCTTTAAATAACAGTTCACTTTTGTGGAAACTGACTGGGGTCCTGTAAAAACTACAACAGTCCCTTGCAAGGGAAGCACCCCCAATGACCTAACCAACTTTCATTAGGCTCCACCTCTTAAAGCTTCCTCCACTACCTCCACACCACCACACTGAGGACCAAGATTCCAGTATGTGAAGCTCTAGGAGACATACTCAAATCATGTCCAAACCATAACAGAAGTCTTCCTTGACCCTTCCTCCCCACCCCATGCCGATCTAGGTGGCTGTAGGCTAGCTCTCCCATAGTGGCCTGGCTTCCATTTATCCCTAGGCATACTCTGACAGAGTTATTAACACACTCTAGAGCTACCAAACTAGCAATTTAAATTCATAAAGAAAATTTTGTATTTTATCTTCTCATTGCAACACTAAATAGAGAAATGCTTGGTAAAAGTTGAATGGATGAATGTGCATGCATCAAAGCAGATGTGTTCTTTATAAACTCCAAACGCTTTTAACAACGATTCTTTCTGTACCTTCTCCCCACCGATCCTATCTTTCTGTTGCATGAAGATTTCTGATATCGAAAGCCGGATTTCAGCCCTGACCATTGCAGGCTTAAACATAGCACCGTGTGTGCGCCTCACAAGAAAACGGGATCAGAAGCAAAGGAACCAGGTGTGTTTGTCCCTTGCTCCCTCTGGTGGAACATTGCATGAGCTGGATAGTTCAAAAGATAAAATATCTTTGGCTTTACCAAAGTTGTATTGATTGCAGTGTCGTGTTTGTAGGTACAAACCATAGACACATCAAGGCAGCAGAGGAGGAAACTACCTGCTCCGCCAGTGAAAGGTAAGCTCAAACCAGAACCACAGAGCTACCAAAGGACGAAGGATGAATTGTTTCCTTTGAGTAGCTCAGAGATCTGAGTTTGAGGACCAGATACAATGGGGAATTCGCACCCATCTTTGTCCTTATCTTGTCTTTGCTTCTGGTCGCCCCAGAAGCAAACACTGGGACAAGTTTAGGAATACAAGTTTATTTGGGAAGTGGTTCCAAGGAAGCACTGGTGCAGAGCAGGAGATTCAGGGAAAGGAAAGACAGGAAGCCAATACAGGTTAATTGGTAAGTTATTACTTCTTTGGGCAAATGAAGCTAAATCCTCCTGGGGACCTCAGGAAGACAGTGTTGACTGCACCTCAGAGCTTCCTGCCTTCAGGGTAGGAAGATGGTGTGTTCGACCTTCTGCTCTCATTCATCATGGCTGAGGGATACATCTGGGTGCATGAACTTCCTGGTACTTCTGAATCTGCCAAGAGAGTGGTGGTGCTTGCAATTGGATGCTAGAATGTGCTGGAATGGTGACCATTGGGAAGAAGTACACAGGACACCAAAAGCATCTTCCACAGTGCCCCACCAGGAAGGGATTCCAGTGATGCCAGTCAGATCACCCTGTGTTCACGTTCAGCCATTTCCTTGGATTAAGGAGTCCATAATGATAATGTCAAATAGAAATTTGGATTTACAGTAGGGGAGTAGAAAGTCAGGAGATGTGCATTTGAACCTTGCTTTCACCTCTTGGCATTCAATAAATATTTATCAAATGTTTACTTTTATAGTCCATAAACCACCCCCCTATTTGGACAGTTAAAATTTATCACAGTTCCACAGTCCGTTAACTGAAACCTCAGGTCTCTTTGTGTTCCATAATTGCTTGTGTACCAAAAAGGGAACATGGTGTCCAGGCAGCATCTGACAGTCAAAACACAAATATCTTTACGGCAAAGCATGAGGACACTCACAGTCCTCATGCTGGACAAGAACCTTCAGTGGCCACAAGTCAGTTCAGGTCAGGTTTTGCAAATCAGATGATTTTTGACTCCAAACTTATAAAAATGTGCAGATTTTACAGCGTCTTATATTTCAGGATTGCAAATAAGAATTTAGGGACTGTGGTGGTTTATCCCTGAGATACTTTTTCCCAGATAGCCACCCATGATGCCTTGACTTATTTGATCCATCATAAAAATAAAAATGTACAGGAAGGAAGTGCCAAGTCTAGGGGGAAAAAATATCTGAGTGATTTGACCTCCTCGTCTTTCTTCCTTACTAATCAGGCCGTCTTCTGGGTAATGCCTGTTCCTTTTTTTTCCTTTTAGCTGAAAAAATGGAGGCATCTTCAGTGACCACCATGAAAACATTTAACCACAACTTTATCCTCCAAGGCTCCTCAACCAACGAGCCCAAAGAAAGGAAAAGCCCCGCCAAGGATTTGATGGTAAATGTCATCATCTCTGTCCTGATGCCCTTCCTTTCACTCTTGATGGATCTCCATTCTGTAGTCTTCCTTCTGTGGCTCCTTTAACAGAGCCCCCAGGAAGCATCCTTTCTGCCTAGCCTCGTGGCCTATTGGGTGTGAGGGGATAAGGGTCTAAGAGAGGGGGAATGACATCCACCTGGTGATGGTCACCTCTTAATTTATCTCCTCTCAATTATATCTCCAGCTCTTTGGAGAAACCAGGTTTGATATAAGAGAAATAAAAATATGTGTGTAAGGTCTGGGTGAGGTGTAGGAGTCCTTATTCTGTTTTGGATCCAGATTTACTCTTTCTTTAAATTTCTTGTTAGCCATTAATGTCACTTTCCTTAAGAGTCGGCAGTGCCCCTAAACGTGGCAAAGGTGCGGACCGTGGATAATTTGTACCAACTCTAGAGATCATCGGGAGAGGGTTAAAGGATCATTTGCTTAAAAACCAACATAAGCATCAGAGTTTCAGCAAAAGCTTAGTGCTGCTTGCACAGGAGTGGTGATCCTGCTAAGCTGCCTTAGTGACACTTGTTGCGCTGACGGCAGGTCACGTCTGGGAGGACAAGACTGAAGTGAGAGCAAACCTGCTCTGTTGCCTTCTGGGCATCACCGGCCTCTCCCTCCCTCTTCCCCTCCACCCTGCACAGTCCCTCTTGTGAACATGGAAGTGCCAGGTGATGGCATCATGGAGGACACAGCCATTCCAATGTGACCCCAAATGGCAGCAGAGCTGCTCGTCGCCCCTTCCGTGGTCAGCCAATATCCCTGACCTTTCACCTTGTTCCTGCCCGTTCCTTCCAAGAGCCAAAAAGATGCTTTCTCATACTTAAAGGGCAGACCATGAGAGTCAGGGAAGGAACAGGTTAGAAAAAACATGGCTAATGACCCTTCATAGAGATAGCACGTAGGCAGTGGATGCTGGGAGCTGAGGAGGTGGGGAAGAAAAGGAAACTGCTGATGGCTAAGGGGTGACTTCGGAGTGATGCATATGTATGAAAACTGGACAAAGGTGATGGGTGGACAACCTTGTGAACATACCAAAGCCGCTGGATTATTTCCTTGTAAATGGTTAGTATTATGTTGTGTGGCTCTCACTTCGATAGATTATTTTGAGTAAAATAAAAATAAATGGCCTTAAAGGAATACACACAGGTTAAAAATGAAGCAAGGCACAATATGCACTAAACAACACACACACGCACACACACACAAAAAAAGGGCAGAAATATTACTTTTGAACAAAGTAGAATTGAAGACAAGACGTATTCAGAGAACATGCTGAGTAAGGATGTTTTGATTTTGATGAAATAGGAGAGTCACGAGCCCATCTTGATTCTGCACACAACAGAACAGCACAATCGACCATGGTGGTTAGAGAGTTTAAAACTCTCCTATCAGCCTTTGGCAGTCCTAGTGCGCTGGAAATAAATACCAATTTAGAGATCTGAATAGGTTTTTTTTTTAATATTTATTTTTTAGTTTTAGGTGGATAAAATATCTTTATTTAGTTTTTATGGGGTGCTGAGGATCCAACCCAGTGCCTCATGCGTGCTAGGTGAGCACTCTACTACTGGAGCCACAACCCCAGCCCCTGAATGGGGTTGTTATTAAGCTTTGATTAAGACATTTTTCTAACATCATACTTTACAGATTAAATTCCTAAGTTTCCATAGATCATTCATAAAAGTTGATTTCCTACCAATTCACAAAGAGAACCTCGATGAATTTCAAAAAGTAGAAAGTGTAAAATCATTTCCTATGATCATAGTGCCAAACATAATCAATTTGCCAAGTGGTTGGTGACAGTGTGCTCCATATGTCACCTCAGGAGCCCGCCCTGGAGTCTGCTGCCCTGTATTAACGCCACCGGAGCTCCACTGCCAGTGACCCACTGCCTCCGGCCATACACAACAGTGCCTTGACCCAACAGCCATCGAATACCGTATGGATTTCCACCTGAGGAGAGAGCCTGGGGTGGCCACAGCATTCCACTGCACAGGGCTGTCCTGATACCTCACCCAGAAAGCAGCCTCAGACTTCAGCATTGCGGTCTTGCCCACTCTCTGCCTTAGGCTTCCTGGAGAATCCAAGACAGCAAACCAAGATGCTGGCTTCCAACGGCAGAGCTCCATGTTCAAAAGATGCATCTTTTCCTGGTTTGCTTTGCTACTATGTGTTGTCTGTAAAAATCTTTTTGTTTTCCAGTCCCTTTGATTCAATTAGAATTCTGTGTCAACTATTTGTCCCATGGAAAATTATTGGAGGGGGGTGGAGGGAAGGGAGATAGAGATATCATTTAGTTCCTCATCAATATAACCAAATCTCTCACAGGCATCCTTGTCTTACAGATGCTGAGGGGAAAAGTGGAAAGGCCCCCGTAGCGAACACTTAGGGCAGTGTAACTTGGGGGTCTCTCAACCATCAAGCATGCAAGTGTCCCTTAGCTACCTCCTCCTCACCCACCTCATTACCAGCGATTCCCCTTGCTTTACAGCCACAGGCCACAGAATGGAAAGCCCTGACTCGTCCCCCATCATGCCAGGTCCATCTGATACAATGTCTCCTTAAGAATTTGGGGTTCCTCCACAGACTTACTGAGAGTGTCCTCACTCAGAAGAGGAGAAGGGGTGGAGGAAGACCACCATTAGCTCAGCTTTTTCTAGGGCAATGTCCAGAATCAACGTGACTCCGTTGAGCAATGGCCGCACCTCAGTGAGTTTTGGGTAAATGAATTCTTGCAAAACATAACCGCGTACGAAAACTTGTGTCCTCCAAAATTGATTTCCTAATGAATATTCAGCACAGTAGCAAAATGATCTTATGGATTTAAAAAAAAATGGTTAGGGAATAGCCTTAGAAAATTTGAAAGTATGAAAAGAATCAAGAACAAACTGAGTTTAAGGGACACAAGAATTGACACTCACTGCATGTTTATGGTCTGTTTGAATCTGACTCAACTGCATGACTATTCAGAGAGTATTTATACAAGCAAGTGGAATTGGAATTTCACTCAATTAATTGGGCATTAGCAACACGTTTACATGTTTTTAAGTGTTTGCTCCTCATTGATTATGGATCTGAAGAAGGAGGCAAGGGAATAGGGTGACTAGAGTTTATTACATGCCAGCTCTGAAGAAGGCAATGTTCTCATTTTAATCTCCATAGCATCCCTATTTCAGTAAGTATACCCATTTTTTAGAATTGATAACCAAGGCCAGAGAGGTTAATTTGCCAGAACCACACCTGTGAGCTAATTATGATTGGAATGCCTCCCAAAAGCCTGCATTGTCTTCAGCCTCTCTGTTCTTTAGCTGCCATGTACATTTCCGGTCCCGACTGGCTGCCGAGTTGTGTGTCCTGATCCACTCCTGATGGGGGTCTCTGTATCTTCCAATAATACTCCTTGCTGATGCTGTGTATGTGTTATCCAACAGAAACGACTCCTTTGAAATAAGTAAATCTTTGGCTTTTTTGTTCTGTTGGTGTGATTCCAAGCAAAAACAAAAACAAATTTCAAAAACACAACAACAAAATCTGACTTCCAAATAGAACGTTTTCTTTAAGAGGCATGAAAAGCAACTATTGTTGTGTTCCAGTGTTAAACTCTTCAGTTTTCTTTGACAAAAACGTGTACTGTGTAAGCCTTGCAAAAAAAAAAAAAACAAAACAAAACAAAAAGAAGCCTGATCCATGGCATTTGAACTTTTATAAAGGTTTCCTTGTGCCAAATAAGTGCAAAGATTTAATTTACTATTAAAAACCATAAGCATATGTTATAGTTCCAGAAGAATTATTTTGTCATCAAGTGATTTTGATCTTTAGTGTCAATATTTATATTTAGATTAATTTTATAAATGAAAATATTTTAATGGTTTAAGAAAAGTAGGACAATATCTTTGATGACCTCTGAGATTTATGCTTGCCTTCATGTTATATGCATATTGCCAGGAACTACTGTCAAGAGAAATGATAAAGAAGTAAAAATCATTTATGAAAATAGTTTGCATGTGTGTGGATTTTTGTCTGTTTCTCGGTTAAAGGAGCCCAGACAAAAGAGTAGAGGATAGAGAAGACAGGTGACCAGCAATTGCACTGATCCAAAAAGCCTGTCGCCCCAACCTGCCTTCCCAGTACACCACTCACCCATTGCAGATTCTTCTGATTTCAGTGACCACCTCCAATTGAGCAAAAAGAGTAGTTCTCAAGGAGGATAGTGTGATGTGATTTTGCACCCCCACCCCATTTGACAATATTTGGAGATATTTTTATGCAAATTAGTAGGAGCGTGCAGCAGCCAGTATCTACTGGGTAGATGCCAAAAGTGCTGCTGAACATCCTCCAAGGCACAGGACCCCACCTACCATGAAGAATTATGCAACCCAGAATGGCCATAGCACTGAGGTTGAGAGCTCTGCATTAGACATCAGAGGAGAAGCTCCACCCGCCAGCCTCTGTGCGGTGGGCATCATTGATCCAGAAGCCGGACAGTGCCTGTCCCCATCTGTTGCGGGGTGGGAGGAGGTTGTTGCACCTCTAAGGCTGGAGTACCCAGAACATTCCAGCCAGACCCTGGCCCCTGCCCTCCCCAAATAGGAACAGGAACCCCCCACTAACCTGAAATGAATGAGTGTGAAAATACCAACAGAAGTCCACAGGTTTCTCTGTGGTGGGCTCAAAGGGTTGAAAAAGTTGTATTCTAACTGAAGGAGCTAGAATTTAAAGGACACTACCACACATCACAGTGTGCCTTTTTGTCCCTACATAATAGAAAGGGCTGTCTCTTTGCACTGAGATATCTTAGGGAGACTGCTAGGCAAAGAGGAATTTGAACGTGTCCTTCACGGAGCAACAACCCAGACAAACACTAGCTACGGTGCCCTCACATAATTGAGGTAATCTTTCATTCAGACAACTTCCAGAATAATCAGAGGATTTAGGTACATCATGAGCCCCAACCACCAATGTCATGCAGCACAAGGTGAAAATCATTTTAAAGGTGTTGAAGGTAAAAACAGTGATCGGATGGGCTTGAGAACATTTATTTGTGAAGAGCTCATTCTGCAGACATTGCTGCCCACCAACAGTATGGGGGGCAGGGGGAAGATCAGAGGCTGTGGATGCCTCTCACACATGCGCAGCTTCTCAGTGGAGACCAGAAGGAAAGACAGACGTACATCAAGTGTGAATCCCTGGGTCTGCTGAGGCTCTGTAGCTAGTGTGGTTCAGATTAGAGATCCAGGGTAAAGCTTGTTTGGTAACCAAATGAGAGAGAAAGGGCTACCCAATGACAGTCACATGCCAGGCGCTAGTGAGTTCTCACACCGTGCATCTGTGGATCTTTATGGTAGCTCTGAGGAGGCCACAGAAACCTCATTTTACACGAGAAAAATTGAGACCCCATACCGAGCTGGTGAACCCTACAGTTCTTTCCAGAACCAACATTTCCCTGAATAGATCATAAGGTTGTCTCAGATCTGGTTGAAATGAAACTTCTCTTAACATAAAGAAGATGTCTAAGAATACTAAAAGAAAACAAACACAGTAATAGAAAGGTGACAAGGATTCCCTCCTCGACCAAACTAAGCCCTCTTCTTGACGAGGCCCTGCCAAGCCCAGTACCCACAAGTCAGTTTCCTGAGAATCCCCCACCCTTGATATAAAGACACTTCCTCCCTCCTCACCCCTGACATCAAATCAACTTCCTCTTAGTAATGTTCCATCCACTGCTTCCCTCACCCTGTGAATTGGTTGTAAAATGAGCTGAGGGATGAGCTCTCTCCTATTGCAGTAGCTTGAATAAAATCTGTCCTGCCATTTTTAACAAATGTCTAGTGCGATTTCTCTTTGATGGGGCGGGGAGGGTAAATGGGTCACTCTATATCCTTTAGAACCAATTGAATCCCGGAAACATATTATCTATTCATAGTAGATAAGAGATAGAGATATCAAATATTTAAATGGGTTTTTGAAGACACAGACAAAGGAAAAAGAAAAATTCTTAATTCTCAAGATTTGAGTGAAAATACGGCAGTTTCAACCTCCAAAGTAGCTGGTGTTGAGGAATGAGGTGTGCATTATATGGGATGTACCACCACTTTAGTAAAATAACTGGTATGCTAACTAGACATCATTCCTGTCTATAAAAGCAAGTCTTATGAGACTCTCAGAAAGAATTATGGTTTTCCTTGTAATTTTTATGACTATTCTAGGATAATATAAACACAGATGAAATTAATTTATAATCTATTTCTGGTTGTCTGGCTCCCCACAATTAATCTAATGAAATTAACATCCACCTATAAAAGCATACACAGGCACACATAGCCTGTCTCTCACAGCATAAAAGTAGAATACAGATCTTCTTTTATGGGCATCAAATTAAGAGAGGGAGGGTAATTAAAAGTCCTGAAGATATGGTAGGTGGGAATCTGACTCCTTCAGATCAATCAGCTTAAACTGTAGGTGTCCAGGCAAGCTAATACCGTCACATAGCTTCAAATGGATATTCTTTAAATCTTTATTTAGAAGAGAGGCTGAGATTTGCAAACAGCACAAGCAGAGGAGAAATGGAGCCTGGTGGTGATTCTGAACACGGGAACTTTGAGGATAGAAATGAGTCACATGATGATGAATATATAGGCAAAGCCCTTACTGGGGGCTCTGCTTGGGGAGGGAAGGGAAGTGGTAGGCTTTTTGCTGGAACAAAAGAAAGGAGCTGGTTTTACCGGCTGCTTGCAGGGGTGGGCTGCCGTTGAGGAATGTTCATTGGCTTTGGGTGCACTGCAGCCCGTGAGGGCTTTTTAACTTCAGCATCCTGGCCCTGTGACAGGGCTGAGTTAAGTAAAAAAGCAAGTAGTAATTTAAGGGCCCCTGGCACCTCCTCTACAGCTTTACCCTTTGGGCACTGGAAGAGTTATGGCAGGGCACCTGGCTCTGATAATGCACCTGGGGTTGAAAGCTGACCAGACTGTTTAAGGGTGGGGCTAAATGAAGCACCATGAGTTAAAGTGGGGACCCTTAATGACTACCAGGCTATGAGCCAAGGTCCAGGATTGCAGATTCCTTTGTGCCTCTAATGGTTCCTAACTATCTCAGTGGTAGCATCCAGCATCTCTCTTTTCCCCAAGCAATTCAGCTCTGGCCTTAAACACACATGGCCTTCTCTCTCCACCACCCCTCCCAAAAAAAAATATCCACCCCACTTTGTGAACACAGGATAGCAACAATCAATGTTACTCCAGTGTGCCTGTTAGTGACGGGGGTACTTGGCATTCCAATCATTCTCCGCACCATCAGGACCCTCTTAGAGAGTTCTGGAACACACATACACATTTTTCTAAAGAATTCATTCCTCTGATGGTTTAGTGCCCCCTGTAGGTTGGTTCTCTGGCTGATCCACCCTTGAATTTGACTCTGCCGATGATTAGGTGATTTCATACTTTAAGAACATGATCATGTGAATGAATTGCTTTGAAGAGATCAAAACCCCAACGTGGCACAGGAGCCCATAGCAAAGGAAGCTTCTCACTTTGTTGTAAAGCAAAAGTCCAAAACACTAAGTCAAAAGTTTCAAGTCTGCAGTCTGTATTGCCTTAGTGCCTCCCTCCCACCTAGACCCAAAGTAGGAACAACACTGGATTAATCCACATCCCCAGCAACCAACGCCCTTCATTAAATCTTTGTTGAACCAAATTGCTGAACCATTCCCAAAATGTGGTGAGTCCAACAGTCCTGCCCCTGGTTCCTGCAAATTATCACCTTTTCAGCTTCTCTGGATTTTCTTCAACCCTTCTTTCCCCAGGACAAATTCTAATCCTAACAGGAAACTCAGAGCTTTCCCTCTCCTCCGTTGCCACTAAAAGAGATAGTGCAGAGCCCCCAAAAAGACCCCCTCAGCCTTCTACTTACAATCCAGTCCATGTCACTTAGAAATGGCAATTTGTCCTGAGAAATGCATCTTTTGTCACTTTCCAAACATTATGCAGTGTACTATCACAAAACTGCATACTCAGGCTATCTATATACCGATGGTATAACCCATTTTTCCTAGGACCATGTAGGACAAAACAGCATGAGATTGAATCAAACACAAGAGAAAAATGATGAAATTGAACACATGATAAAGAGGAATTCTATGAGGCCACTATTTTCAGCATTCTGTTTTACAGTAAACTTTTTTTTATAAGTGGAAGGAATGCACACTCAAATAACAATAAAAAGTATAATGTAGTAAATAGACCAGTAGCATAGCCATTTATTAACATTATCAAGTATCATGCACTGTACATATTTTTAGGTGCTATGCTTTTATATGACTGGCAGTGTAATAGTTTTGTTTATACCTACATTGCCAAACATGTGAGTGATGTACAGGCCAGAACATCAGCATGGCTACACATAAATAGGTGCCAGGAAATGTTCAGCTCCTTTATAACTTTATGTGATCATCATTGTATATGTGGCCCATCACTGACCAAAATGTCAGTGGTATATGGCTGTTATTCCTAACCTAAACTTGCAGGCAGATCAGGAAAGTTTTCTCCAAATGGCTCTTTTTATTCCCAATACTCTCTTCTTTCTTGGTGTATCACCCGGTAATTTTGTTTCATTGAGGGAAAGCAAGATTCCTGGAATAAATCTGGTCATTCTCAGTCCTCAGTCTACCTTTCTTTACACCGCCATTAATGTACCTGGCACAAGGTTAACTAAGTATGTTCTCTAGCTTTTCATTGCTGTTACAAAATACCTGAGATAATCAACCTGAAAGGAAAAAAGGGTTTACTTTGACTCATGGTCTCAGAGGCTTCAGGCCATGGTTGGTTTGCCCTGTTGCTTTAGGCCTATGACAAGACAATATAACATGGCAGAAGCACATAGCAAAGGAAGTTTCTCATTTTGTTGTAGCCAGAAAGCAAAGAGACAGGAGAAGGAGTGGGATACCAATCACTGCTTCAAAGGCATATCCCCGGTGACCTAACTTCCTCCCACTAGGCCCCACC